CCTCCACTCCTGACACTCCCCAACATGCCCCCACCATTTCCCATAGCCTCCGACACCGCCCAGTATTCCCCCCACTCCTCATAGACCCCCAACATCCCCTCCACTCCTGACACCCCCCTGCTACTCCTTACATCCACACTCTCATAAACACCCCCACCTCACATGCCTAACTTACCTTTGACAGTGCTGGGGGTAGCAGGAGCACCACAGAAATGCTCTGGCCAGAAACCAGAGCGTCTCTCATGGAGGACTGACTCCCACATTGCCTCCAGGCATAGTCCAGGAATGTACCTTGCCCCGCCGCTCTGCAGCACGGTTTTTTTTTTTACCCCTGGATATCCAGGGGTCTAATTTTGCCCTTGCACTGCAAATATGCAGTACAGGGAATTTTTTTTTGCTCCTGCATGTGCATCTTGCAGCATCTCAAAGGGGGTTGAAACACTGCAAGAAGCACATGTGCACTCATTTGGACGCGCCCATAGAAGAGAAATGGGTTGAAGTGCTTTATTTACCGGAGGAGTGGCTAACCTGAGCTATGCATGCCATAGGGGTTATGGCAGCCTATGGCACACAGCAGATCAGGAAGGGGATGCCAGCCCAGTGGCAGATAGGGCATCAAGCAGAAAGCAGAGCAGCAGATCAGGCAAAGAGCACAGGGCCAGAAGCAGAAAGGAAAGTAACCCTGTATTTCACAGTGTATAGGTCAACACAGCATATAGGCCGACCCCCAGCTTTCTGATCTGAGAGGTAAGGATTTTCATAGGCACGGTGTATAAGTCAGAGCTGGGCTTGGGTGGTGCAGCACCATCCCCTGCAAGCGGTGCTGCTGGAGCCCCTCACAGGGAATGGGGCCATGCCAGCTGAGTGCCAAGCCATCCCCATCCCCTGTGTGGTGCTGAGCCTGGCACCACTGCTATGGGATGGGGAAGGAGAAGGGGCTAGGCTCAGTGCTCAGCTGGCCCCATCCCTATGAGTGGCGCTGCAGGCTCTGCTCACAGGGGATGGGGCTGTGCCAGCCAAGCCCTGTCCCTGTCCCCTGCAAGCACCACCAACTGCTGAGCCCAGTGCCACTAGCAGGGGATGAGGATGTGCCAGCCAAGTGCTGAGCCCAGCCCTGTCCCCTGCAAGCAGCACTAGGCTTGGCATTAGGCAGCACCACTCGCAGCAGACAGGTCCAGGTTCAGCACCTGGCTGGCACAGCCCCATCCCTTGCGAGCCCTACACTGGTCACAGGGGATGTGGATGGGGCTGGGCTCGGCTGGTGCAGCCTTATTCCCTGCAAGCAGCAAGAGGAACTGGCAGCACTGCTCGCAGGGGATGGAGTTGTGCCCTCTGAGTGCAGAGCCCAACCCCGTCCCCTTTTTTTTGATGTGGGATAGCATAAAACTCTAGTTTGATTTTTAAGATATAAAAATTGGGCTTCAAAACTCGATTTATACACCATGAAATACAGTAAACATGTAGGGAGCATAAGGAAGTGAACAGAAAGCAGAGAAGCAGATCAAGCAAGGGAAGGGGAAACCTAATGTGGGACTAATTTGTGGTACACCTGCCAAAAAGGTTTGCCCCCACTAGCTCTTTGTATTGTTTCTGTGTGTATTCTATTTTCTTGCATACTGCACACCCCCAAATAAAACATTCACCTTGTTTCTGGAAGGCAGAATGAAGAAAAAAGTAATTTTTCCAGAGTGTGCAAGTAAATCCTCCTGGAAACATATAGCATGTCTAGAAGTGTGGCATCCCAAAAGAGTTTGCAGGTGAGGCAGCAGGAACTTCCTGGCAGGACAGCAGCAAGCCTAGGAACCTGTAAATGGTTCCTTATGGCTGCAAATATTTCTTTATATAAGTTTGTATAAATAATGAAGTATTGTTTCCACATCACAAGCTTCATTAAGATACTGCAGACTGCAACAGCAACTCATTCACTCTCAGTCAGTGGCTTTTTGGCTACTGCCTCAGAAGCAGTTGCAAGAGGGTTAGCACTGGACTCTGCCACTGCCCTTTGCAGCCCTAAGGAGAAATGGCAGCAGTCTTGATGGCCAGGAGTTTCCATTTTTGCTTGCTTTTTTCCACCCTGCTACTAGTCCAGCAAAGAAAAAACAGCTTCCCCGATTGATATACACCCCAATATTTGAGGGTTGATTTGCAGTGAAAGATGTGCATGGTGTGAGTAAATATGGTAATTCATTTATTTTACTGAATGATAGCAGCACGTTGCGTTACCCTGGAAAATAATACAATGGAAGTTATCTATTATCAGTATATTATTATAGTACTTCATGAAGTGCTTAACCCTTTTGATAGAGGAATTATAAAATTATAAAATGTTTACTAGAAATAAACCTTTGAAGAAAACATAAATATAAGTCAAAGGACATGACAACTAAGAGGATCCTGCCTCTGTAAGGGCTTCAAAGTCCCTAAAACTTATACATAAGAAAAGAACAAATACAAAGTTAAAAGATCACTGATAAATATTTTTGTTTCACAAAATGAAGAATTTAAACAGTTACAGCCCAGTACTGCACAAAATGAGTTAAGAAATGGAAAATTAAAAATAATCTGTTGTACTTATAAATCGACTAAATTAACAAAAGGTGTGTCTTAAGTAAAATCCTTGTTTTAGTACTGGTATCAAATAGACTAAACATTAACAGGAAAATATTCTGATTTTTATTTTTTCACGTTATTATCAAGTACACAATTACAATAATGTCACACATCCCTATATGATTCTATGTATTTCGTTTTTTCTTTTCTTTTTTTTTACAAAGTGTACAGAGGGAAGGACGTACAATATTTAACAGGGTATTTCTACAGAACAATAATTTATATTATGTCCTTGTAAAAATCTGTACCTTTTTAAAACATTAAACTGAAACATCCATTTTATAGCATTTGCTAATCAAATTATTTAAGAAATAAAACTAGCCTGTAACTAATGTCAGTACATTAACAATAACTATAATTTCATTTTCTCTTTATACAGACAAATACATTTTACAAAATCCACTTGACCAAACCCTTAATTTTTTTATTTTTATTTTTTTTAAAAAGGTTTTAATATTGTGCTTTTAAAAAAAAAAGGTGTGTATGATTCCAGGCTACATAAAAGAAATAAAATGCGTAAATTTTGTGTTCTTTGTCTTTCAGCTTATTTAAAAAAATATAGATCTAAATGACTAAAACTCTTCAGCAGTTCTGTGGGAATTTATGCAGATTTTATACACTTTTCTTTAAGGTTTCCATTTGCATAGAGCAAATCGTACAAGGGAATTCTATCTGAACAAAGAATTTTTGCAATATTTGAATGGAAAATAATGCATTCAGTTTTTGCGCATGTAAGGCCCCCATTCTACAACACGCAGCATTTCGGCCAACTAATATGCCAACAGAACCCCACTGAATATAGCAGAGTTTAATGGAGGCACAGTAGTCCGCCTATGCACTAAAATATCAAGGGCTGTTACTGGCAGCATTTGCCAATATAGCACAGGATCAGTCTGTGTCCCTCAGACAGCAGAGACTGTGGGGAACAACAGTAAAGTAACATTAGATGCATTTAGCTTTTCCTGAAATGATAAGTTCAAGTCAACTACAAGTGTTAACATTTAGAGTAAAACATAACAGACCAACTGAGCAATAGTTGCAGTTCTTAATAATAGTGAAGATTAGGATGTGAACATCTTAGAGCAAACCTCAGTTTCATTACGAGACAAAGTCTTTACAAAAGACTCAGTAAAAACCAAAGGCCAGGTTCTATACCCCTTCCCAGTGAATATATCCCATTAAACAAAATAGTACTACTCACACTGGCAAGTGCCATGTGATGGGATGAGTGGTTGCAAAATCTGTCACAATCCTATATTTGTACTTCAGGCCAAATCCTGCCATCCTTAGTCAACTACTGATTTCAATGACACTCTGAGCAAGACCACAGGATTGGATATCAAAACTTCACATGCAATTAAGCTATTCAGCTTTGCTTTACTTTTGTTGTCTTAAGACACATGACTTCATGTCTTGCATATTTATACAGCAATTAGCAACTGATGCAGCTCCATAATATAAGTCTTCAGGTGGCAACATTGCATACAATAATTGTAATACTCTCCCAGCTGTTTATAAACAAATGAGAAGAATCCGGTTAATTTTGGATACTAATTGCTTAATAAACAGCAGTTTGCCACAGATGCTAATGGCTCATGGAAAACATCCTATTTAGAAATGGTTCTGCCAGTCATAGATTATTTTTATTATTAAGGATATTGGCCTGGAAACCAGAGCTCTATTCTCTAGAAAGTTGTCAGCTTCTACTCCCTATCCTCCCACTTGAAGTTCTCTCCCATTATAGCAGGCTTTCAAAACTGAGGCATCTACTGTCCTTTAATCTAAAGAAATTCCCAATAAAAATATGATTATTTGACCCAAATATTGGTGTTTCATATAGCAATATTTATATTATATAAATTCTTATTTAATTTGGGGTATACTTAACTGTACATATTTAAAGTTGCAACCTGACCAGTCAGCAAGAACAACTATATTTCATATTTTGTCAACATTTAGTCATCAGTAAGTTGAGGAAATCGAAATTCATTTGAGATACACAACCATTCAACAAAGAAACACAGAGTAATAAACATAATATTTATGAACATTCTACCTCCAAGAAGTAAAAATAAGCATTGAAAAAAATGCCACCAACCATCATTTGTACTTATTTATAGGGAGGAATGATATATTCTTTGTAAAAGAAACTGGAATAAAAATGCAGAATATTTTTGTTCAGTAATGTTTGATGGGTAATTTGATGTTTAATTTGCCACAAGTTCTGTATATGCTAGATAATTAGGTGGGCCCTAATGATGTTATCCTTGACATTAAAATTTCCTGTTATTTTATACACATCTGACAATTTATCAAGAGAAAATTTAAAATATTTTTAAAATTCACAACAAAATTGTATTAACATGGACAGTGTGAGTACCAACAAGGTCAGTAAGATAAATATATTTAAATAAACTATTACGGTTGAAAAATTCAGTATGAGACAGGGTTTACTTTATTAAATGCAACTTTATTGTTGCCATCTTTTCCTCATTTATTAAACAAACTGAATAGAATTCAGAACACGCTATTGAACAAAAGGTATAAAAGTCAACTAGAAGCAATAATCCTATTTGTATACAGCAATAAATCAAATGCACAGTATGCTTGTTTTATGTAATTGGTGATTGACTTTAAAATAAACTGACTGCCTAGAAGGCAATATTCCTTTATAACTCCAGCCACTTAGTCTGTGAAAGAGACTTTAAGGCAGCCCAACATCTTTATGATGCCTCATAATGTGCTGGTTCTTCTCTGAAGGTCTTCGGAAACCTTTCTTGCAGTATTCACAGCGGTGAGGATAGTCTTTTGTATGAATGGAAATAACATGTCGTTTGAAGCCCGAAGCATCCGTAGTGCTATACTCACAGTACTCGCATTGATAAACTTTCCTGCCACTGTGTGTTTTCATGTGTTTTTTTAGCTCATTTTGTTGCCTAAAGCCCTTTCTGCACCTCTTACACCTGAATGGAAGATCCTTTGTGTGAACTGAGAGAATATGACGACTCAGAATAAATGGATCTGCAATCTTAAAGTCACAATGTCTGCACTGGTGCAATTTTTTACCCTTGTGCGCTGCCACGTGTTTTTTCAGTTCTGAGGGCCTATGAAAGCCTTTATCACACATGTCACACTTGTGAGGATAATCCTTTGTGTGGACTGAAATTATGTGTCGTTTCAAATCACTTGAGTTTGAGCTCTTGTGGTCACAATGCAAACACTGATGTGTTTTACTTTCTTGATGCATAAGGGCATGCTGCTGTAGCTCTTTGGTATCTGAAAATGTCTGAAGACAAATATCACATTTGAATGGCATTTCCTTGCTATGTTTAGTCTTTATGTGAGTTTTCAAGTTAGAAGAGTCGGCAGATCTGTACTCGCAATATTGGCACTCATATGGTTTTTCACCAGTGTGAATCCGCATATGCTTTTTGAGCTCTGACGGATGACGAAAGCCTTTGCCACACTCCACACAAATGTGAGGAAAGTTCTTGCTGTGCACTGCCAAGAGATGACGACTCAGTAACCCTTGCTCTGCTGTCTCATAATCGCAGAATTTGCACTTATGCATTTTATTGACCCCTTTGTCCCTATGTACCATCTTGTGAGTAAATAAAGCTCCCGCATGAGAGAAGCTCTTCCCACATTCATCACATTCAATAAGCTTTTCTGTTTTGTTGGTCAGCTTGTGGCTCTCCAAGTGGTTATGTAAACTTAGTTTTTTATTGGTAGTGTAATCACAGTCCGTGCATCTGTATTTCTTCTTTGTAAGAAGGTGCTCTGGGTGATTTTTCATGTGCCTTTTCAAGAACCCTCTGGATTTAAATTTCTTTCCACAAATCATGCAAGGGTAGACAGTCAAGGGATGACCATCAGGGCCAATGATTATTGCTGAAAACAAAAGAAAACAAACAAAAATCATGAAGTTGATACTCAAGCCTTTCATTAATATTTGTTAACATTAAGTTATATTGTTAAGTATATCAAAGTGGGTTTCTTCCATTTGCTATACTGAGTTGGCTTTAACCACTTTTCCACATTAAATCTATAAAACTGCAAGTCAGAATTTCCCAACAGTAATAGCTGCGGATTCAAAACTTTTGCCTTTAGCAGAAATGTCAAGCATGAAACATCCAGAGGGATGAGTGTCTCTCCAATCACAAATCAATGTCAGATGAACTACATTAATGAAACCTGCAGAAATTCAAACAAAAGTATTTAACTGATCAGTTAAATAAATTATACATCACAATATTCTCTCAAATGTATTTTTAATTGGAATCTATCATTCTCTATTAGCAACTACTATAAGCAAAAAACACAAACAGCAAACAACTTGTTTTTCCCAACCTTCCAAAATTCTAGATTTAATACTACTTCAACAAAATTAATGGATCTTATTCATCACACAAACTTTGCTATGCAATATATTTTGTTTTAACATATTAAAAAGTAAATGCGTTACCAAAACAGGTAGCAGCAATGGACAGGATAGAGTTTTTCATAAATACCTGGCAAAGAGATACCAACCATTTCTTTCACTTGCAAATCTGAACTGGTTCCTGGGTACTGCATGCTGTAAAACTCATTCCCTCCCCACTCCCCTCATATGTTTGAAAAAGATGGGAGAAATACCAGAATAGTTGGAAATGGGAAAGGTAGGATTATTTTAATTTTCAAACTTGTCCAATTTGTTACTCAAGAGTCACATAAAATGGAACTGCTACGATTTAGTCAAAGTGAAGGAAATGTTTGGTGCCTTCATTTTAAATTACGGGCTCCTAAAACAGATGCACAGGTTCTGTTTTACCTAAGCACACACAAAGACAAGCAGCTGGCTCAAGAAGGAACGCTGCATAGTAATGCCAATACTAGTTTGGGAGAAAAGTTGTGCACATATTCAAATCAGTAGAATAAGTTGGGTTTATAAGATTTAAACTTCTGCTACACTATTGCTTTTATTTTGGCTGAGGTAGGTTCCCTTTCACTTGAAACTATGGAATATACCATAAAGATTTTTAGTTCGAAATTTTAAAAAGAAAATATACATTGGCCACATGACCTGAAAAATCTAGTCAGCAAGACAGAGAACACAGCAATCATCTTTCTGTAGAAAGCTGCATCCCAACCAACAACGTACATTTGTTTGGGAGTGTTTATTTGCCTCCATTTGCACATTTATATGGGTCCTATCACTAGAGGACATGATCACTTCAGTACTTACCTGTCTGATATTGCCTGGATTCAGGTCTCCTCTTCTTCTTTGGTTTTTGTTTAGCTAGTCTCCCAAGTCCAGCAGACTCATCTATGTGTAAGAGTGCACTTGCTGTGCCATTCCGACTTTCAATGCCATCATTATTATTACCTAGCAAGACAAATTAAAAATGACATACCTTCATCACACTAAAGATTAACTGAACTATCAAAATTATACCAATAGTGAAAAATGCATGAATACTTAAGAAGGTTAGCAAAAGTCTGGGAAGTGGAAAATTCTAGAACACAAAACAAAGAAGCCAGACATTTAAGGGAAGGCATATAAACCAGGAAAAGCTCACAGGTACACTGAAAGTTTGCAGCAGGAGAGGTGGAAAAACAAGCAGGAATGGGGTCACAGTTGTGGGACAAACAAAGGTTAGAGAAGGAGCATTGGGCATGTCTACACATTGCTGTACAGCAACACTGTTACTGTGCCATGCTTTAGTACTTTCTTTTGGAAGTATTAAAGCAAGGCACAGTAACCACCCATATTACGCCATACAGGTGGAACATACTTACATTGCCCCGCTACACCGCCATAGTGGCATGCTGTAAGCGGGAAACACGCTGCTACAGCAACGTAGCTAGTGATCACGTGTAGACCCATGTGATTGCTATGTCACCATAGTGTGCCACATGGCAATGGAATGTGTCGTTGCACTCTAGGGCAACATGTGTATGGGCCTACTAAGATACAAAGAACTTCTTGGCTTAAAAAGACAACACACGAGCTGCAAGTGAAGGATGTTAGACACTCTTAGTTCAAGCAATGTTCCTGAGTAATGAGAAAACTGAGGTGGGAAAATGGCACAAGCACATGCCATCTGCTGTGCCCATCATCACATGCCAATGAAGAGAGAAAATGTGAGCCAGAAGGCAAATTGGAAACCTTCAATAGCAAGTTCTGGGTTGAAGACGTATTTAAATTACTGGGGTATCCTGAGGGTTAGCACGGATATTTAGTGTCCAAAGAAGCACGACTGAAAAACTCCATTTTCAGGAATGGGCAACAGACAGCCCATGTCCAGATGTGCCCAAGAGGCCCATAGAAGAAACAAATGCTAGAAGTCTAATGAGGCTCAGGGAAGCTTGCAGAACACACAGCTATGGATTGGCACCCAAGGGCAGTCTGAGGAGCACCCAAAACCCCGTTAAATCAAGAAAACATTAAAACTCATTGAACCACAATCTATTTGGGAGATGCAAATATATAGGATTAAAAAAACCCTCTATAACAGAGCATAAACTGGCTAATGCAGGTGGAAATACTGGAATTCAAAGCCTATGCAGTTTACAGAAGGAAATGGAAATCAAATTTTGCAAGGGTTCCTCTTTCTCTACTCCCACTACTGCACTTTAAAAAAAGATTTTGCCATATATTTCAGGTTGCCAATTCTGTTAACAAACTTTTTTCAGGAAACATGAACAATGATATTATTTATATTGTACAGGCAGTCCTCGACTTACATTTCTAAACTGACACCCTGTTTCAACTTTCTGACATTGGTTTTGACTTTACAATGTTTGATTTGATACGACACCATGACAGCAAACAAGTCGCTGCGTCACCCATCTCCCTGGAGAACATCTGTCCAAACTTCCTTGGACACTCTCTTTAAGAAAGCAGACAAGACTCCAGAAAAACCTGCAGCCAAGACTGCGTCAAGAACCCTTCAAAAAGTCCAACCAAGAGCCCTTCAAAAAGTCCAAAGCCACCTCAAAGTAATCCTTCCAAATCAATATGATTGCTATTTACAATATAAATACATTAATGTAGCCATATTACTCATCTATAATTGATTGAGTACAAAATTCTGGGTTATTTTTGGTGAAAACAGGGTATCAGGCCTTGGTTCAGGAACCAATCACCCATTTATAACATTGTTTCCTATGGCAAAAGTCAGTTCCAAATTAGGTTTCGACTTAAGATGCCGTTTTCAGGAACTGTGTCGTAAGTCCGAGGACTGCCTGTAATTTATACTTTGTATCTGA